CCATGCATCGAAAAAGAAAGAAAATGAAATGGGTGTTCCGAAGGCAGCTGCTGGGTAGCATTCAGCAGCCCCCAACCTCAAGGGAAGGGCCTTGAATCTGCGACCTGTCCCGGGTTGGCGTCCCCAGGGTCAGGTCACCGGGACGGAAGGTTGCATGGAAAGCCCTATTTGCCGCTGAGCAGAGTGTGGGGAGGCCCTCCCAGCTCGGTGGGTCCCTCCATGGGCCTGCAGAGCACCTTACAAATCGCTCTGGGAGTCCCACCAGAGTGCCCGGCTCAACAGCTCCAGGCCTCTTTTTGTTCATGGCTCTCAACTCCAGCCAGAAGCTCTGCAGCCCCGATGTCCTCAACCACTTCTGTGATATCTCACCCCCACTATGGCTGTCTTGCTCCAGCACCATTGCCATAGAAATGCTGGTCTCTGAGGCAGCCCGGGTGATCCTCGTGGCCTCCCTGCAGGCAACCACGGTGTCCTACGCCCACATCCTGGCCAGGTCGCTGAGGATTCCAGGAAGGCCCAGCAGCCAAAGGCCTTCCCCACCCATGCCTCCCACCTGGGGTGGCGGCTCCTCTGACCTCATCAAGCTGGTGTTGAGGAGAGAAGCCATTTCTCTTACTGTCTCTGAAGAGGAGGAAGTAAAAGTTGAAAAACAACAGGAATGAAGTCAGTGGCGAGACCAGCCAGTGCCACTGATGACCAGGCCTGAGGTTAAAAGATTAACCCCCCACTCTAACCACATGTGCTCTCAATCTATCACGACCCTTTCACGTGGAACCCCTTAGAGCTGTAAGCCCTTAAAAGGGCCAGGAACTCTATCTTCGGGGAGCTCAGCTTTTAAGACACGAGTCTGCCGATGCTTCCGGCCAAATAAAAAAACCTCTTCCTTCTTTAATCCGGTGTCTGAGGAGTTTTGTCTGTGGCTCATCCTGCTACAGTGTCGGGGGTCTACTTGGTTGGGATCCTCTGCTCAAACCCATCATCTGCCTGGAGAACTGCAGGGAGGCCCTGGCCAAACTCCTCCAGGCCCTGCGCCTTTAGAGCACCAGCTGCAGCTCCTCCTCCTTCCCTGTGCTCACAGACACTGGTGACCCCCCAAGGCCGCCACAGCCCTCTTCCACCAGGGCAGTCAGCAAGCCCCACCCTCGCCCATATCACCCAGAGTCAGAGTTGCCAAGAGCACAGAGCAGCCGTAGGCAAGCATCTCCATGAGAAGGGGAGGGGCAGAGATGCCAGACCTGGGCCTCAGCACTGCCAGAACAGTGCCTCGCCATGGCAGCCGGGAGCCTCCGGCCCAGGAGAAGCTGGGCCTGGAGCTCACAGGAAGCCCCCTCTCACGGACCTGACCCTCTCAGATGAACAGCTGCTGTGGAGGCCAGCCACTCAGCCCGGTCCTCCGGGCCCACAGGGAAGTCTCCTTGCCATGAGGTCCCAGCTCCTCAGAGCAGAACCTGAGGCCAGGTCAGCAAAGGGCTCCGGCACATCCAGGTAGCACCACCAAACACATAGGTGCCCCCTTTCCTCAGAAACAAGAACGTCATTTTGTGTCCATTTATTGAAAATTTGATGGGTCTAATGAATAGATGACGTGCCCTTACCAGGTTTCTGTGCCTTTTCTCTCTGGTGCTTAAAGGCAGAAACTAAGTTGACCGAGCACGTCTCTTACTATTGGGCTGCAGCACCTGGTTGTGGGGAGGTATCCCTCGCTTGATTTCACGGTTTTTCCATGCTCCCATCCCACCTCCCTCATCACAGCCACCCAGTGTGATGCATTCAGCACGTGTACTTGGAGAGCGAGGTACTCAACAGATGCATGATGTTGTGTGTGAGTTTTAAATTTATGTCAATGAGTTTTCACTGTAAATCTTTTTTCTTCCTATTTTTGTTTTGTATATGTTGAGGTTATGTCATGAAATGCATACAGATTTAGAAATGTTTTGGAAACATTTAACCTTGGAAAATTTAACCTTTCATTACTAAGAAGCATTACTCTTTGTCCCTAATAATGCTCAACTTTTAAGTCATAAAGTCTACTTTGGCATTAATATAGCTACACTGGCTTCCTTTTAGTTAGTATTTGCATGGTATCTATTTTTTATCCATGCCAATTATTAATCTGCTGCCTCTTAGCTTCTAACCACCATTCACAGTCAGCTCTGTGACACTGGAACATGGACTTGACAAACTGCATTTCTACTTTGCCACCCACTCCCTCTTTCTGTTGAGACGTCAGCTGCCAGTCTTACTTTTACTCTTTTGCAAGTAACTTGAGTTTCCCCTGCTTCTAGAAGTTGTTTGGTTTACAGCTGTCTTACCTAGGTATGCTTCATTTTGTATTTATTGCACTTGGAGTTTTTAATGCTTCTAGAATTCATGATTTAATTTCTTTCATCAGTTTTTGGAAATTATTGGTGATTACTTCTTTGAATGTTACCTCTACCTCATTCTTCCTCTTCTTCCATTGGTTCTAATATTACATGGCACGTCAGGCCTTTTTATAGTGTACCCTCTGCCTCCTAACATCCTATTCTGCATGCTCTTTTTTTTTTTTTTCTGGATTATTTTCTGATCTTCCAGGTTACTAATTCTCTCTCTAGCCATGTCTAATCTTCTGTGTTTCAAAATGTATTTTTTTATTCTAGACTTTCCTTTTTGTCATTTTAGTTTCCCATTCTCTACCAAAATTCTCAATCTTGTTTTATTCTGTAGACATGGACCGGTTCCTACACAAGTTTCTTAATGGTATCCTTGTTCTCGTGTTGGTCTCTGTCTAATCCTTGCCAAGACTGGGTTGTTTTATAACGATGGCTTTCTACAATGTCTGAATATGACATGGTGATTTGCTCTTCTTTGATCTTCTTTTTCAAAATTATTTTATTAATAGCTATTTTAGGCCTTTATTTTTCCATACAGACTTTAGAAACGTTTGGGTTCTGTGCTATTTTGTTACTACCATAACAAAGCGCCACAGACAGGGTGGTTTAAACAACAGAAATTTGTTTTCTCAGTTTGGCAGGGTTGGTTTCTTCTGCAGCCTCTCTTCTTGGCTTGTAGACACTGTCTTCTCCCTGTCTTCACAGGGCTGTGCCTCAATTGGTGTCTGGGTCCTAAGCTCCTCTTGTTAAGGACATCAAGCTCACCTCACCTCATTTAACTTTAGTCACCTCTTTAAGATCCTATTTCCAAATGCAGGTACTAGGGGTTGGGACTTCAATGCATGAATTTGAGGGAGACACAGTTCAGCTTATAACAGAGCCTTTTAAAAATTATGTCAAGATTTTGATTGTAATTTCACTAAATTTATGGCTCAATTTGTGGTGAACTGTCACCTTTGCAATATCCTGTTCATGCTCCATTTATGCAGATTTTCTTTTATATTCTTTAATAACTTTTTGATGTTCTCCATAGAGGTCTTTTACATTGTGGACTGTGGTGAATGGCTTTTTTTTTTCTCTCTCTCTCTTCCAGAGGAGTCGTCTTTCTCTGCTGCCTAGGCTGGAGAGCAGTGGCACAATCTCAGCTCACTGAACCTCCACCTCCAGGGTTCAAGTGATTCTCGTGCCTTAGCCTCCCATGTAGCTGGGACTACAGGCACATGCTACCACGACTGGCTAATTTTTGTATTTTTAGTAGAGATGAGGTTTCACCATGTTGGCCTGTCTGGTCTCAAACTCCTGGCCTCAGGTGATCTGCCTGACTTGGCCTCCCAAAGTGCTAGGATTACAGGCATGAGCCATCATGCCAGGCTATCAGTGGCTTTTTATCTTATATTTTCTAAAGCTACTTTTTGTTCTGGTAGAGAAATTCTACCATTTTAAGTCTAAGTTACACATCTGGCTGCAAGTCTAGGGAGTACCTACTTAAAACAGGGGCGAGAGGTGAGACACCCAGCAGTGCAGAGCAGCACCCTGTGTGCCGGGGACGACCCTGCCCTCCACCCGCCTGGCTGCTGACCCAGCATCCTGGGGGCTTCCAATGGCAGGAGCCACCCTCAGTCCAGTCCCACTCCCAGCAGGAAAAAGGGGGAAAGGACAAGAGCACACAGGTTCTGAACAGCCCCTCGCCTTAGGGGGGACAAATGCTCTCCCAGGAGCCCCCGGCACCCTCAGTTGCAAGTTTCACCAGCTATGCCTATGTCCTGTGGCCTCTGCCAGCTGCAGCACTTGTGATAGAATCAGGCCTCAGGGCTGCAGCTGCAGGAGCCACCGTGCCTTCTATGGTAGAATCAGGCCTCAGGGCTGCAGCTGCAGGAGCCACTGTGCCTTCTATGGTAGAATCAGGCCTCAGGGCTGCAGCTGCAGGAGCCACCGTGCCTTCAACGTGCTGTGTTCTTCCTGGTGGCAGCTCTGCCAATGCTGTGTTAAACAGAAGTGGTGAAAGTAGGCAATCTTTTCATTGGCTCGTTTTTTTTAAAATACATTTAAAAGCTCTCCACTACATATGTCTTCTGAGATTAGCCTTTGTCAAGGAAAAAATTTCACTTCTATGACGAGTTTTCTCAACATGTTTCACCACAAACGAATGTTAATTGAAATCAAATGCTTTGTCTTCCTCTGTAGAAAACCGTATTTTTCACCTTTGGTCCACTAATAGGTAAAGCACATTGACATATCTTACGATGTAAAACCACCCTGAACCTGATTGATCATGGTGATTTGTTCTGATGCGCCGCTCGATGCATTTTGCTACTGCTTTATTTAAAACTTTCATGTCTCTACTCAAACATAACACAGCCTAAATGTTTCTCTTGTGCTTCTCTTATACACCCTAAGATACATCCTATACATCTTAAGATAGAAGGCTTCCGGAATCATAAATCAGCTGGAGCACCGCCTCCCCCTTCCTTTCCCATTCTGTGCTCTCAGCCTTGGAACAACTGTCAGATGTTAGAGCCCAAAACAGATCCCCTGGGTCTATCTCCTTTTCTTTCATATTTGCTGCCTTTTTGCCAGAAAGATTTCCTTAAATGTACAATTCCATCCTTCTGGGTTTTTTTTTTTTTTTTGGCAATAATTTTTTTAATTTTAAAAGTGCCTTTTTTGTCTTATTCCATCTTCACAGTTTCCTGTTCTTATTATATAAATATATGTCCCCAGTCTGAGTCTATGGATTGGAGTATGTTTTTTTTTTAATTTTCCTCTGAGTCATTCAAATTTCTCAATCCATTTATTTTCTGTTTCTTTGCCTGGTCTTTCTTTTATGTGATGCAGCTCTCCTTGAATGTCTGATACTTTTCATCCTTCAATGAAGCCAATGGGTGACAGGAAGACGTGCTTCCATGAAAGGCAGTGTTTCGCTCCAGAACCTCAGCTCCTGCCCCTGGATCCAGACCCGCAGCATCCCCAGGACCCCTTCTCCCCTCTGGGTCCTGCCCCCACCTCGCTGGCTCCCATCGCAGATTCCCCATGAGACTCCACACTTGGCCTCTCACACAGAGCCTAGGGGTGAGGCGCCCCTCCCAGCCTCTCAGCTGGCAGTCCTGGGCCTGTGCTGGGAAACATCCCCTCCCGCCCACAGCCAGAGGAGCCGCATCACTGTCTTGAGTGGTCACACATCCGCTCCCAGGGCCAGGGGAGGGAACAGTCACAGACTTTCCCCATGAGCCAAAAATAAGCGAGGTCTGGCTGTGGCGCTGTCCACTGCTGGCTCCAGCACCAGGGGTTGCCCAAGAACCCCCTTGACTCCTTAGAGTAAGCAGCTCACTGCTGGCTGTTCTTTGTGTGACCGGAAAGGGGGACTTGACCAGAGTGTACAGATCTATGATGACCCCCACTTCCACCTCCACATCCCATGGCCGCGGCCCCTCCCTTCCAAGCTCGTCCTGCCTGATGGGCAGCACCCCCGGTCCGGTCTGGAGTCTCCCGGGGCCCTTCCTGTTCTCCTTGTTAATTTATTTTCTGTCTTGGAGGGAAGCTGGGTGGACCTGCTCAGGCGGCCCCCTAGGGCCAGAAGACCTGTCAGTCACTTTCAAATACATGTTCTTTCCAGAGGTTCTAAAAACACTGTTGTCCCTCTCACCCAGAAAGCTAAGCTTCTGTTCAGTCCTTAACGGTAGCTATAAATGAGAAGCACAGCTTGGTTTCCTTCTAATATCCGGCAAGTTAGAAGACAGAAAGTATTTATTTACTTATTCATCACATATTTGCAGGGCAACCCTACACGGGACAGCAGAGGTCCCACGCGGGCGCTGCACCCGGAGCCAGGCTCAGTTGAAACTCACCGGAGGCGCGGCCGCCCTGGGCTGGGAAGACGCCGTGGGCCCAGGTGGCATCAGAACCCACAGGAGGGAGGCAGCTGGCCCAGGAGGGGTCGGGGCAGGCCTTTGGGGATCGTGAGAGTCGACCCCATCCTCCCCGAAACAAGGTCCGAGGTTGAGGAGGTCCCTGCCCGGCCCCGCAGCTGACAACCAGGGGAGAAGCCGCACCTGCCGGGGTAGGGACCGCGGGGTGGGCTCGGGCCTCCGTGGGGCCGGCACAGGGACCGTCTCCTCTCAGGACCTCGGCCCTCATCCCCGGGCACCGGGACTCACAGGCGGATGGGCCCAGGTGGAGACCAGGGTGTGGAGGGGGAGGAAGCGGGGCGGGTGGAACGGGGCCGGGTGCGGGGGTCGCGGGGGATCGCGGGGAAGGGACCTTGTGATGCAGGAGACGGAGGGGGCTGGTGACGGAGGACGGGAGGCCGCGAGGATGGGGAATGGGGACGTCCTTTTCCCCTCCCACCGGCTCACCGGGGATGCGCCTCCGCGACTGCCCGCCCCAATCCCAGGGCGGAGGCCTCGCGCAAAACCCAGGCGCTTCGGCTCCGCGCTCAGGCTGAGGGTCTGCGCCGCCGCCCGCCCGCTCCTTCCCGCTTGGCTGCGGCCCCTGGGCGGATACTCCGGCGCGCGGTTCCAACCGAGGTCCGTGGCGGGTAAGGCCGGGAGGCTGGGGCGGGTACAGAGCCGGGGAGCGAGGGGCGGCGCAGGCAGGGGATGCAGCTGTCGCCTGGATAGCCGCGTCCGAAGGCGACCCCGCTACTCGACCCCATCCTGTCCCCCGCCAGGTGCTGAATTAGGCAACCGGGGACGGCATGGAGCGCTGGGAGTGCGCGGGAGGGACCGTCCCTGGGGTACGGGCCTGCTGGGGCGGGGTCCGCACGGTGTCAGCAGCCGCTTGTCCGCCGCAGCACCTGCAAGGCCCGCACCCAGGCTCTGGCCCCAAAGGTGGGCGCCAGGCCCAGGCACGGCCCGTCCCCGCTCCAGACCCTTATCTGAGCCAGCACTTGGTCCCCGCTACCGCATCCTGCAAACACAACACCCCTGCCCCCATGCTTCCCCCCACCTCGCATCCCAGCAACGCGTGCAGAGCCCAGGAGCATGGCGGCCCTCCCCCAGGCCTGCCCCATACCCCCCGGACCTGGACGCCGCCCGAGGCCTGGACGCTCCCACCGCGGCGCTCCTGCCCCGCTTCAACGCCCCCAATCCAGGTGCACAACCTTCAGCTGCAGAACCCTCCTGCCCCACCCGCCACTTCCCAGCGCCTCTCCCAGGCCTAAGTCCCTGATGCTAGAGGTTAAACCGCGCCCCCCAGGCCTGCGTGGGCCTCCAAGATGCTGGGGCACCCTGATCCCACAAAAGCCGAGGGTCCCTCTGCTCTCCAGCCCTGAGCCCTCCGCCCCTGGGGGCCCGATCTCCATGGAAACTGAGGGCCCTTTCCCGCTCTTCCCGCAGGTTTGGCTCCACCAAGATGAACTGGGCACCCGCAACGTGCTGGGCTCTGCTACTGGCGGCCGCCTTCCTCTGCGACAGCGGCGCAGCCAAGGGCGGCCGCGGAGGGGCGCGGGGCAGTGCCCGGGGAGGGGTTCGCGGGGGCGCGCGCGGGACCTCGAGGGTGCGCGTGAGGCCGGCGCCGCGCTACGGTGCCCCTGGCTCCTCCCTGCGCGTGGCTGCGGCAGGGGCGGCGGCTGGGGCGGCGGCGGGAGCAGCCGCGGGCCTGGCGGCGGGCTCGGGCTGGAGAAGGGCCGCGGGACCCGGGGAGCGCGGCCTGGAGGACAACGAGGACGGGGTGCCCGGAGGCAACGGGACCGGCCCCGGCATCTACAGCTACCGGGCGTGGACTTCAGGCGCTGGACCCACGCGCAGCCCTAGTCTCTGTCTCGTGCTGGGCGGCGCCCTTGGCGCCCTGGGGTTGCTGTGGCCCTAGGCCTGGCTGGGCTCGGGGACTACATCTGGCCCCCGGCCCGTGCCGTCCCCAGGATCCCCCGGCCTGGGCTCCCCCTTCCTCCCTTGCCCACGGTCTTGGGCCGCAGCTGGGGCAGGAGCTGCAGGCTGTCCCTGTGAACCCGCCATCCAGTGTCCTGCCCACGCCGCCTCAGCCTCCCACCTCCCACCTCGAGGGGACCATGGATCCTGCCCCAACCCGCTCCAGGATGTTAGGGTCCCCCCAATCAGAAAGGCAGCGGCCTGTGGCTCCTGTACCAACCGCCCAGCCACGCTCCAGAGCCGCCCAAAGGGAGGTGCCAAGGCCAGGAACCCAAGCCACCCCGACTCCCCTCACCTGCCCTGGGGCTGTGGTGACGCATGGGCAGGGAGGCGACCTCAGGCTGGTTCTGCCACTGAGGCCCTGAGGAATCTGGCCCTTCCCAAAAGCAGCAATGAAATGGACCAAAGGACTTAAGGATTTGGGGGGAAGTGAGGGGAAAACGATAGGTGCTAACCACCTGCCCAGAAGAGACGAGTGGATCTCACAGCCCAGGAACATTCCCAAGCAGGACTGTCCCTCCGAGGAACGTCCATCCTGGCTCTGCAGCTGGTGGGAAAACACACCCTGCCCTGGAAGGGCTGCCAGGCCTTGTGCCCCACACCCTCAGGCCGAGATCCGTCAGAGACCCACTTTGCTCCAACAACTTGAAACATGTCACTTTACCCTCCTTAGGACCCATTTTGGGGGAAAAAACCCAACACATTCCAGAGCTTTCCAAATCTTCTGAACTTTAGGTTCACATTCAGGCATCACACAGTTCTGCCTGTACTCAGGGCACGGCAACTGCCAATCCCACTGAAGAGCCCTCCCTGGGCACAGCTCAGGCTGCACAGCACCCGGATTTCCCTGCAGGCAGCCCCTTCCTCGGAAGCAGCTGTTCCAGGCCTCGGAACAGGGCCTGGGTATCGAGGCGTGGTAGATCGGCAGCTGACGGCCTGCTCAGTGGATCAGGAGCTAACTCAGACCACGGAGCAAGCAGGGGCCAGTGGCGGGCCCCGGCGCCCAGCAGGACACCCATGCAAGAGGTTGAGCCCCCAACATCTCCAAGAGCTCTGACCACCCAAGGACAGGAGACACACGGAGTGGCACCGGGCAGCCACAAGGACTTGCCACCAGCACTGGACACACCTGTCTTAAGACCGGCCCTCTGCTCCCCAGCCCTGCCAGCCTGGGGCATCCTCCATGGGCTCAGCACTGAGGGGTCTTGGGTCGACCACGTTCTCTAGCTCTCCGGTCACCCGACTCATCCGAGGTAGGATGGGTTCTCCCTGGCCCCCCATGGCCTTAGGATCTCACCCTCGCCAGGCCCTGGTGAGAGCCTCGCCGCTGCCAGGCTGCATCCCTCCCGGGCCGGAGCCTCTGGACTCAGTGGACACCAAAGTTGAGACCAGCACCCCCCATGGGCCCTGCCAGCCTCTGCCTTCCCCAGCTGGCCTGGGTGCTGGCCAGGGTGAGGATCTGGAAGCTGTTGGCAGGACTCAACCAAGCACTGCTCTCTAGCTCCGGGGCACTAAGCCACAGGAGGCAGCACCCTGCAGCCTCCCATCCACACTGCCAGCAATGCCCCGGCCCAGTGAGCCCAGACGCTCCCCCACCCCTTCCAGACCAAGCTCAGTGCCACCAAGACCAGCAGGCCAAGGCCAGGCCCTGCCCCAGATCTGCCATTTCCCCAGGAGGCAGGGAGTGGTCTGAGTCTCCTCAAAGCAGGGAGACCCACCGGAGCCCCCTCGACTTCGCAGATGCCCACCTAGAAGATGGGCTGAGCTGCACCAGACCCTCACACACCACAGCACTGCAAGCTGGTGGAGTGTTCCAGATGTGATGGACACATCGTGATCTGCGTATTCAGTACATTAGCCTCTGACACAGCCAATCTGAACACTTCCGGCCCAGGCGGGCAGGGTTATGGCAGGATGCAGGTGGCACGCAGGGGCTAACTTCAGGCTGAGTGTGTGGGGTACGGGGCAGCAGAGGCAGCCAGCCAGCAAGGAGGGGCCGCTGACCACCAGGGCCGTGGTGGAGGCTGCTGTGGGAAGGCCAGGCCACGACCGGAAATCGGCCGGAGCTTCTGCACAGGATGTCCCCGGCCCCAGGCCCCGCAGCACCTCAGTCCATATCCCCAGCCCCACTCACCTTCCTTCCTCTTCCCTCTTCTAGGACACAGGCTGTGGACCTTCAGGTGCACTGATAATGGGGCTGGAGGGGCCCCCACACCTCTCAGCCCCACTAATACAGAAACCCACTACCCGTGAGCTAGAAGGTGCTCAGCGGCCAGGGGGTCTCCACTGCCTGTAACGGGCGGCCTTCCCGTCTGTGCACAGCGAAGCCATGTGCAGGGCGCCCCCCTCAACTCTGCCCTGGAACATGCCCCAGGGCACGGAGGGGTGAAGCCAGTGCTTGGGCTCTGCTGCTGGGAGTCTTGTTGTGTCTGCGTGCGCCTGTGAGTGTGAAATAAACCTCTCTGCCGGCAGCCAGCCTCTTACTTGCTGTGGGACTGCAGGACACTGGACCGAAAGCCCCCAACCAAGCCCTGGTTGCCAACCTGCTCCTTTCTTAGGTTCCACTGGTGAGAGCGGCTCTAATACACAGGCCCAAGGCACTACGGTATACCTCACAGGCCAGTAAGAAACAGGCCCTTTAATTGGAGATTTTAAAGGTTACAGGTTATAGCTTTAACTCCTTCTGAGACAGCATCCATTTCTCAAGAGGCCTGAGCAGGAAGCTCCGGGAGAACCAAGCATGCGGAGCTGCTCAGGGACGTCACCTGGGAAGCCTGGTGTCCACTCCCACCTGCTTGGCCCCTGGAACTGGGGCCCCTGGAGCTAGCCAGGCCGTGGGGGCACCAGAGAGCACAGCACCCTAGTGGCCAGCGTGGAGCTCCTGGACCAGGTGAGCTGTCTTGAGCCTCAACCACCCAGGTGAGGAGGTCTGGGAGGCCACTCGTGGCCCTCCCCACCCGGACAAGTTCAGGGCACAGTCTCGGCCGGGGGGTGGCCACGCAGGATGTCGAGGTCCAGCATCACGGGGCCCAGCAGCCCGCGGCGGAAGGTATGGAGGAAGTCACGGGCTGCCGCAGGATAGTCAGGCTGAACAACGTTCACGTCACCTGGGGGATGGGAGGGATCAGTGAGGAAGGAGCCTTCATAGCAGCACGGGCCCAGCCCTTACCCACCTGAGGGACCAGCCCTAAGAGACTCTAGGGTGGCATCAGGGAAGCCCAGGGAACAGGATCACACTCAGAAAGAAACCAGCTGGAGCTGCGCTGCCTGGAGCCTCCAAGGCCAGGCACATGAGGCCTGCAGGTGTCCACCTAGCACTGCCCATCAAGCGGCAGGGCTGATGGACCCTCGGAAGCCTGGACTACGAGCCCTTCCTCTCCAGAACTTTCTGTAGCTCCCCTGCCCCGAAACCCAGTCCCAGAAGACCCGCCCGCATGCTCCTTCAGACGTTCCTCTCCTCCCTGCCTCCTCTGGGGACGGCCGGGGTCCCCCTGGGTGATGGGGTGAGGCTCCAGTGCCCGCATCAGCAACCTCACTCACCCGTGCCCGTGAGCACCTTCACCTTCTGTGTCTTCCCCAGCTTCACAGCCACACTCTTCAGCACACGCTCTATGCTGTCACAGGCACTGCCCAGGCCGTAGTGCTGCACGTACCTGCACACAGGCTGCAGGTCAGCACCAGGGGGCCCAGCACTGACACCACGCAGACAGCCAGGTGCACAGCCAGCCAGGCCGGGCCCTTGCTCCTGAATGCCACAAAGGCCATGGCTAGGCAACTCCTGTGGGTGACAGTGACTGCAGTGCTGTGGATGACGAAGATGGCACTGGAGGTGACTGGTGCTGAGCCCCGGGGGAGAGCCACTGTCTAAGAACCATCCCTGAGCTTTGTCCTGTGTGGCCATGGCCAGCAGCATGGAGGGTGGCTCCCACCACTGGAGCTCTTGCTGCAACGGGAGGAATACCAGCTGTTCACATGCACAGGCTTCATCCACCCTATCCGGGGGCAGGGACAGGCAGGCCTCTGTGCAGGCCCAGGTCCTGGAAACTAAAAGAGTAGCACAGCAGACCATCTGCAAACACACTGTTTGCTGCTAAGGATGGCACTCGGTGACTTCCAGGCAGCCAGTACGCCTGCATCCTCTCCCCCCCGGCTGGGTGTTTGAGCGGTGTTTCCTAGCACACGGACCAGCACGGGCTGACTAGGCACCCAGCACTGCTGAGCGCCACCCAGTGGTTCTCACGGGCACTCGGACTCCTCACAGTGCAGACTCTGGGCAGAGAGGCCTGGAGGGAAAGGCCAGCACAGAGCAGCAACTCACAGGGACAGACACCACCCTAAGCCTCAGGAGCCCAACTAACCCAGACCCAACACTTTCCCAACCTTCCTGACAGCCAGGGGTGAGGGCAGCCTGTCTCATGGCTCCCACGAGGACAGGCTCAACCTTGAGGAGGCTGGAGCCCTCGGACCTGGTCACAGCATGACCCGGTAACACAGGACTCACCACAAGGCCCAGCAAAGCAAGACATGAGCTCAGAGCCCACGGGGGCGTCGGCACCCCGAGTAACATGGGTTCTAAATCTCACTTCTGGGTGAGCTCAGAGCCCATGGGGGCGTCGGCACCCCGAGTAACACGGTTCTAAGTCTCACTTCTGGGTGAGGTCAGAGCCCACGGGGGCGTCGGCACCCCGAGTAACACGGTTCTAAGTCTCACTTCTGGGTGAGCTCAGAGCCCACGGGGGCATCAGCACCCTGAGTAACACGGTTCTAAATCTCACTTCTGGGAAGCAGCAAGTGTGAGCTCTCAATCAGCAGCCTCAAGGGCCCCTGGTGCTCCAAAAAAGCTGTCCCAGGAGAGAGAAGCAAGCCTGGAGAAGACCCCTGCCCACTCCCGAGACCTGCCAATGGGTGAGAACTCCTGCAAGCACAGGACTGTTTCCAAATAACCGAGCTATCCCAGAACAAAGCTCAAGAATTTTTACAGGAATGCAGACATCCATCACCTCACAAGGTGAAACTCAAAATACATGGCGTCCAGCCAGGCACGGTGGCTCAAGCCTGTAATCCCAGCACTCTGGGAGGCCAAGGTGGACGGATAACTTGAGGTCAGGAGTTTGAGACCAGCCTGTTCACCAACATGGTGAAACCCTGTCTCTACTAAAAATACAAAAATTAGCCAGGTGTGGTGGCACACGCGTATAATCCCAGCTACTTGGGAGGCTAAGGCAGGAGAATCACTTGAACCCAGGAGGCGGAGGCTGCAGTGGGCTGAGATCCTACCACTGCACTGCAGCCTGGGCGACAGAGTGAGATGCCATCTCAAAAAAAGAAAAAAAATACATATATATATATATTATCCAAAATATTAATATATATTTTATATATATATACAAAATCCAAAAATTGCCAGGCCTACAAAGGAGAAAAACAGACCCCTTAATGAGAAGAAAAATCAGTCAACTCAAACTGACCCAATGTTAGAATTAGCAGACAAGACATTAAATCTAAGCTGAAACACGGAAGATATTTTTTAAAACAATCCAAACTGAACTTGCAGAAGTGAAAACTATGAAAACCACTGAGTGGGATGAACAGCAGATTAGACATTGCAGAAGAAAAGATGAGTGAACCCGAAGACACAGCAACAGAAACCGCAAAACAGGCACAAAGCTTTACTGAGCCGCGGTGGGACGAGGCCAAGCAGCCTGGTACCTGCGTGCCTGAGGTCCTGAGGAGAAGAGAGGGACAGAACAAAAGTCTGCAGATATAAAGGTTCAAAATGATCCAAATTTCATGAAAACTACAAAGCCCCAGATCCAAAAATCTCAATGAACTACAACTACAAGCAGAAGGTAGAAAACCATACCAAGGTCCATCGTAATCAAGTTGCTCAAAAGCACTAAGAGAGAAAATCCTGGAGGCAGCAGAGGAACAAACACGACAGCAGACAGCTCATCAGACACCACGCGAGTGATGAAGGGGAGACCACCCCCTGTCAAGCACTAAAAAACCCCGTCAATCTGGAATTCTATACATAGAGAAAATATCTTGCAAAACAAAGGTGAAACAGACACCTTCAGACAACCAAAAGCTGAAAGAATTCACCACCAGCAAACCTGCCTTACGATACATATTAAAGGAAATCCTTCAGACGGAAGTAAAATCACACCAGAAGGAAACCTGGACCTACACAAAGAAATTAGAAGGTGTGGATGGTAAACTGATGGGAAAATATATAAAACTTTTTTTCTGGGATTTTATATTTCTTTAAAAGATAATTGTATGAAGGAAAAAACATGTATCTGGAGGTTATAAAATATGTAAAGGTAAAATATATCATCATGATGATGGCACAAGGATCAGGATAAGAAAAATAGAAAATCACTTAAAGACATACTATACACCCTAAAGCAACGTCTCCCAAAAGTTGTAGACAATAAGCTAACAAATAAGATACAGTAGAATCATTTAAAAATATCCAATCCTAAAAAGGCAAGAGAGAAGACAAAAGAAAACAAAAATTGAGACAAATAGGCCGGGCATGGTGGCTCACACCTGAAATCCCAGCACTTTTGGGAGGTGGGTGGATCACCTGAGGTCCGGAGTTCAAGACCAGCCTGGCCAACATGGTGAAATGCCATCTCTACTAAAAATACAAAAACAATTAGCTGGGCGTGGTGGCGCGTGCCTGTAACCCCAGCTACTCAGGAGACTGAGGCAGGAGAATCACTTGAACCCGAGGGGTAGAGGTTGCAGTGAGCCGAGATCGCACCGCTGCACTGCAGCCTGGGTGACGAGCAAAACTCTGTCTCAAAAAAAAAAAAAAAAAAAAAAATTGAGACAAATGGAAAACAAATAGCAAGATAATAAATTTAAATCCATAAATAATCACATTAAGTGATTAAATGTAAATAGCCTAAATACCTAAAAGGCAGAGACTGTCAGACTGGGTAAGAAGCCAAATCCAACAATACAAAGAAGCAGACTATAAGAAACATGTTTTAAATATGAAGACACAAATATGCTAAAAATAAAAGGACAGAAAAAGATACACCAAGTTACTGTTAATCAAAATAAGCTGGAATGGGCCAGATGCAGAGGCTCCCACCTGTAATCCCTGCAGTCTGGGGGCTGAGGGGGCGGATCACGGTCAGACGCCTGGTAATCCCTGCAGTACTGAGGCCAGGCATGGGCGGATCCTACATGGAGGCAGGATGTTCTAAGACCAGGCCGTGGCCAACATGGCGACACCCCCTCTCTACTACAAAAACAAAAAAGCCAGGCAGGTGGCCACGCCTGTAATCCCAGCTACTAGGGAGGCTGGAGGGCCATGAAAATTACTTGAACCCAGGGGCGGGTTGTGGGGCCTGTACCCAGCACTCCAGCTGAGCAGGAGACGTGAACCCGAGCTTGCAGTGAGCCAGATGCGCCTGCACTCCACCGGCGACAGAGCGAGACTCCGTCTCAAAAAAAAAAAAAAAAAAAAAACAACAACAAAAAAGAAAACAAACTGGAATGGCTATATTAATATCAGACAAGATAGATTTCAGAGCAGAGAATATTCTGAAGGATAAAAAAAAATCATTTGATAATGATAAAGGCATCAAATCATCAAGAGGACGTAACAATCTCCTGAGCATTTCTGTACCTAACAGCAGAGCTTCAAAATACACGAAGCCAAAACTGATTGAACAACAAGAATAGAGAAATCCAGTTATAGTGTGAAATTTCAATACCCCCCTCACAATAATTGGTAGTACAAACATAAAGTCAGCAAAGTAGAAATAAAAAAATAAATATCGAACAGAAATAATGACATAAAAACAAAGACAACAGAAAGTCAATGAAACCAAAAGCTGATTCTTTGGAAAAATAAAATTAATAAGCCTCTAGCCAGACAGTTCTCTTCCACTTGAAAAAGGGCATCTAAGAAACACCCATGCCTAATATTGCGCTTAATGGTAAGAGAGTAAAAGCTTCCTACCTTAGATCAGGAACAAAAAAAAAAAGATGTACCACATCTCAAGCACTAAAAAAACCTGCCAATTGTATTGAAGACTGTGGCCAGTGCAATAAAGCAAGAAAACAAAATATGGCATCTGGACTGGAAAAGAAAAAGTAAGATGATCTTTATTTGCAAATGACGTAATTGTCTAGGTAAAAAATCTATTGGAATCTACAAAGAGCTACTAGAATGAATAAATGAGTTTAGCAGGGTTACAAGATACGAGATCAATATACAAAACTCAATTCTACTTCTATATACTAGCAATGAAAAATCAAAAGTGAATATAAAAACCATACCATTTACAATAGCATCAAAAATATTAAAAGAGTTAATAGAGGGAATGACATGACCAAATAGAGAAGTAGAAGCAATCTGGCTCCACTCACCCTCTCAAAACCAAAACCAAACATCCAGCACCAAGAATATCACCAGCAATATTCCAGAACTCAAATCTGAGGATGAGACCAGAGAAGTGAAAAAACTCCAGGCAGACAGTAAGCTGCAAAGAACCTCTAAGCAAACATCCAAGAAAAAACAAAACAAGCCAGACAGGAAAGCCGAGATAACAAATCCTTGAATGCAAAACCACAGACATATGTGCACAAGAAACAACAGCGAACGGAAAACCGTGACCTTCTCAAACAGACAAAGCAAAGAGCCAATGACCAACCTTAATGAGATGGCAACATGTCAAGTGCTCAAATCAAGAATTCAAGATAACAGTTAAAAAAAAAAAACTCAGCAAACTCTGACATAGAAAAACAATTCACAAATTTGTCAGACAAATTTAACAGAGATTGAAATTTAAAAAAAAAAATCAAACAGAAATCCTGGAACTAAAAAATACATTTGTTGATCTGAAAACCGCATTACAGGCTCTCAACAGCAGAATGAATCAAGCAGAGGAAACAATCAGTGAGCCTGAGGACTGGCTATTT